CGTCACGGCTCCACTCTGTCCCATCTCTTTCACAGCTCAACAAGGTGGCGCTGAAAAGCACACGTCACAGGCTTTTCCAAAAAATACAGCTTTTTATTGTCTTGGATGCAAATACAGTTTTCGAACTGCTCTGTAGTGTTGAACACGGCGGTGGGGACGCGCCTGACCGCGGGGCACGAGGGCCGGGGCCGGGTGCGGGCCGGCGGCTGCCCTCCACTGCGGAGGGTCTTCCCCGCTTCGCTTTGCAGACCGCGAGGCACACTGTCTCCTAAAGGGGCCCTGACGTGACCCCCAAAGCTCATGACAGAAAAGATGAGCCACGTGCACAATGAACTGAGAAGGCGTGGCGTCACAAAGCGAGCGAGTGGCACGGCTTCTGTCCCCGGGCTGTGTGAACAGAGGCAGCTGCGGCGCGGGGGCAGGCGACGCCCAGCTCCCCTGCGGGAGCACGGCCACACAGCCGGGAGCACGTGCCCCCGGCCCAGCCCTGCATGCCCTTTAACCGCAGGATGTAAACTCTGGAAATGTACGAAAGTTCGGCTTCTCCCAAGCCTCACAGCCCCGACTCCTGAGAGCGGCTCGTCTCTGCTCAGAAACCGGAGAACTCTCCACGGGAGCAGCGCCCGGGGCTGGCTGTGGAACCAGAAGTTTGACTGGGAGATGAAGGTAAATTCTGCTACATAATTGGAAAGGAATTTCACAAAAATAAAATTCCATTCACACACACACACACACAAGCTTGTGTAAGCACACGTGCACACGCACAAAAAGTCACGCTGACACTCAACATAAAGATTCCCTTTTCTTTCTCAAAGGCTGATTTTCCAGAAGGGAAAGGACACTGGGCAAGCTGACTGTGGGTCCTAAGGCGTGTCTCTGCCCAGAGTCCCTCCAACCACAGGAGCCCGCTGAGCAGACCGAGGTCGAGACGGCCGCTGGACAGCACAAACGTGCGCGAGCTGGAGACCCAGGGTCTCCGGTGTTGGCGTCCGGGCTCTGCTGAGTCCCCCCACCCAGGCCCCGCCACGGAAACGCTTTGCAAGACCAAGGCCGACCCACGGTGGGCGGGTTTCCCCTCGTCTCCAGGGAGAGGCAGCTCTTCCCACCGGAGAGAAGGGGCGACCTGACACACTCCCGGTTTGTGAGGGGGCCTCTGGCAGCGGGACAGAGACCATGGAGGGACCAGGTGACCACCGGAGGGGAAGGGACCGCTGAGAGCGGGAGGGGGAGGGGGCGCTGTCCCAAGCCTGCCCGTCTGGAGCCCGTGAGCTGAGGGAGCTGAACTGAGGCGGGGTCCGCAGCACCCGGCCGCTCCACCAGAGCGAGGCCACGGGCAGGCAGACCCCAGGACGGCCCCAGCTCCGCTCTGGGGAGCTCGTCCTGCTAGACGGTAAAAACGTGCAACCCTGGAAACAACAGCCCTGCTGCCCGGGACGCACCCAGGTGGGAAACCAGGCCCGCGACAGAGGTGCAGCCTGAGAGGAAGCTGGGGTGGAGCCGGCCAGGGCTGCATGCAGGGAGGCGGGAGGGACAGACCCCTCCAGGTGGCGTGTCTGCTGGGATCAGGCAATGATGTCACTCACTACCGCACCCCGGCACCACCCTGGGGTCCCACGTCCTCTAAAAATCTGTTTATAGTCCTATCAGCCACAGCAGAAAAACCTTCAGACCTGACCTCTAGAAAGGGGAAGTGGGGTCAGGTCACAAGGACAGGAAGTAGAGAAAGTTGGGCACCCAAGAACACACGGGCGACCACTGAGCACCCCTCCTACAGGCTCTAGGAACACGGCTGCGCTGGGGATCTCGGTGCCCCTGGCCCCGTCCCTCCTCAGCCACACTAACTTCTGACATGGCGACTTTCCCCGTGCCGTGAACAACTGCCACAGAGCTGCCGGTCCGTCATGGGGTCAGGGACCTTCCGAGGGGGCGACAGCTCGTGTGTGACCTGCCTGAGACAGGAGGGACGGGCCTCTCGGCTTTCAGAAAGCCCCACGGTGGCACCGTCCCTGCATCTCCCACTCATTGTGAAAGCACAGGCAGCAGGGTGGGGGGGCTGATGGCACAGAAAGATTTCACAGAAAAACCTGCAGACTCAGGTGCCAGACAGGAGCTTTTTTCTTTTCAGATCAATCTTACTCTAAAGTGTCAGCATTTTTAAGTTTGTTTTATGAGAGTAAGGACAGGAGTTGGGGTGAAAACAAGTGTGAAGGACCCGCAGCCCCCGTGGTCAGCGTCCACTTGAGGCCACCGGCAGAGTGGCCTCGGTACCCCCACATCCTGGCTGGGGACCCCGGCATGGAGGTTGAGGCTAGGCCCTCATGTCTGACCAGATTCATCAGGCAAGATTCCAAAACAAGATCACTTCCAGGACGAGAAACGATTGTGTCTGCAGTAAGAAGAGCAGCTTTGTGGCCTGACAGCCGTGGCGATTGAAGCACCAAGAGAAACGGATTTAAGTAAATATCTCAAAACAAAAACATGCATCTAGTCAACAGTCTGCTGGGATAACAAACACAGACACGCGCACACCCTTCAAAGGCACATACAACCTAACAGCCTTAAATATTTAAAACAGAATCGTGAACATTAACTCAGCAAAAGGGAGAGATGGAGAGGTAGGCCAAAGAAGCAACAGGCCAATTTTATATCCCACAGTATTTTTTTTTAAAGACTCTCAGGAAGGGGTGGGGAGCAAGCTGCTGACTTAGGAGAGGTTCAGGCTGGGCCAAGCACTGTGGCCCGGCGTGGTCTATGAAGGCACAGGATCTGGGAGGGGCCGAGCTCATGACTTTCCACGAGCCCTCATGGCGGGGAACGGTCCGCATCCCCCGTTTTCCTTTGACCCTAGTGGGGCTCGCGCCACGGTGGTAGTCCCCTTTTGAAGGGGACTTCTCATTTACCCTAGGGGGAAAGGTGGGCTCTCTTACCATGTCCCGATGGAAACTAAGGACCAGCTACACAGGGAAGGGACCCGGAAGGCCTGTAAACACGTTTCCTGTGGGGCCTGCGGGGTGCCGCCACGCTGCTCTCGGACAGGGATGGACACCGACCAGGGAGCAGGCGACTGGTCAGTGACCGGCAGCAGAGATGGTGGCAGAACCCCCACTCGTCCTCCATCACCCAAAGCTGAGGTGGGGCTGGCCGCACTCTGAGCACATTCCTCGGGCCTCCAGGAACCGGGGGGAGCCTCCGAATGGATCGGAACTTCAGGAGGTAGCCGTGGTCCCCCCCATGTGGACCCTAGGCCCCCTCGAAGCCCACTCACTCCCAGCCTGCCCAACACTGCCCGTCCCCACCACTGGCAAGGAGGAGAGAGGAAAGCCGGCCGGCGCGCCGGTCTTCACAGCAGGATGACACACCCACGTTCTTCTGGTGCCGGCGCACCCCTCCGAACCCTGCCCACTGCGATTCCCACGCTGGGCAGCCCACTGCCCCCCCGCACAGCCCCCCTCGGATCGACTCCGAGTGCAGTTCCTGTCTGATCTGGGCGCGGCCTAGAGACAGCTGAGGGTGGCTACCTCGGAGTTCTGCCCGTCGACATTCCATCTCTTCCTCCAAACACAGGACAGAACAGACTTTGGGTGTGGAGACATCTTTGGTCCGAGAACTGTTATGGTCTGAGGCTCCCGGGTGAACGATGCAGACGAGATGGCCAGGCTGATGGCAGCACCGTGGAGTCAGGCCTTTCGAGTGCTACCCCCTACGGGCTCCGCGTGTCTCAGACACTGCGGGCTCATCCGAGGCGGAGCCCGGCAGCAGGTGGAGACGACGGAGGAAGGGCCACGCTGCGAGCTCTCGCCCGGCAGGACCCCGGGCTGCGTCTTCGCCGTGATTCTCAAGTCAGCGACGCTGTGGATGCTGCGACGCAATGCCAAGTGGAACTAAACGGTTAGCAGGTGACGACGCCACCCAAGAGGGTTTCCGGGCTGGAGCGGCGGATTGCATCGTTTGCGCTTTCCCTCTCGTCCCGCGTGTATGCACCCCCTCCACTTCTGCACGCACGCGTTCTGGGGGTCCCCAGGCAGCTGACCGTGCTGGGCAATTGTCCACGTCTACCTGCAAGGTCAGAGTCTGGGGAAGGAAGGAACATGCCTGCCAACTGCCCCACGGTGGGCCAGAGCACTACAACTGCCCCGGATGCGACAGACGAGGACCGGGAAGGGACCCTGAAGTTCTCTGGGAGCAGACGCGCCCCATCTACTCCCCGCGCTGGCGCCGGGGGCCCGGCAGAGCACCAGCAGGACAGGACTGGGACTGCGGCGGTCCCCTGTCCAAGCTGTCCTGAGGGCGGGGGAGGTTGTGACTGAGGTCGCTGAGTGAAAGTGTACAGCAAGGGCTTCCCGAAAACGGGCTATTGCTGTTGGCAGGACCCGAACCTGCTTCAGACCTGAGTGTGGTGTTGAAGCGGCCCAGTGGGCCAGCCTCGGAAGGAGGCCCCGAGCCTCTGCGTTGGGAGGGGCGTGGGGCACGGCTTCCTCTCCACGGCAGGGAAGGGTCTCCATGGCACCTTGTGCAGCCACACACCCGCCAGGCGCTGCTAAGACTCCCCCGATCTCTTGCCAATTCTGGTGACAGCCTTTGTGGCCTGCTCTGGCAGCTGGGACGGGTCCGTCAGGATGGAGGTGGTGGTGCTCAGATGCCGGAGGGTGTTCAGCACCGCTGGAGGACAGGAAGAGGTCGGTGTGAAGACATGGACATGCATGAAGCTTTGAGCCCCACGATGGATGGCACGCACGGTCTCACACACACAACCATCGTGATGGCTCTTCTGCTTGCCAAGCAGGAGGGGCACTAAGCTCGACCTAAGGACAGCAGGGGGTCCTCTGTGCCGAGACCTGGGCACTCACACCTCTCTGCCCTTAAGTTAGCTCCCCAAACCCTGTCTTCCTGCAGATGGGCGAGAATCCCAAGCTCTTCCTGCTCATCCACTAGTGCTAACGTGCCTCTAACTTTAATACATAGGCACGGCTTTCTTGGTTATTATAAGAATTAAACAAAAAAACAACACAGCCGAAAGCACCTGAGACAGAGCCTGGCGAACAGTAAGTGCTCAATTAACGTACACAAGGTCTGAACAAGGTGACGCACGTCACATGCAGAAAGTTGTGGAGAGGCGCTGGGACAGCTGC